TATCCAAACATGGCCGCAGCCTTCGAGCCCGGTCTCTCCTCCAACACCTACGCTGGCGGAATGCGCACGCTGCCGTCTACCTTTGGACGCGCGGCGCATCCATCACACGCCAGGTTTGACTATTCTGCGTTCCCCGCCCCCTCGGACGCTCAGGAACGCGAGGCTGTCGAAGCCCTTCTTCGACTTGGTTCTGTATAATACCACCTGCATGCATGGCGTTTGCTTTATCTTTCCTTTTTTACTTTTGACATTTTGTCCTTATAATTGGGTGGGCGTCGCTTGATTATACCTCGGGTTCCCACGGTGGGAGGGTTTACACAACACTCGGATCGGGTGGACTGGCAGGCTGGACCTTGGAATACGTGTCACACATTGGCCGGGGCGGCGTCCCGGATCGATCCCTTTTATGCTGATGATGACACGGTTGTTCTGCATGCATTCATGCTAATTTTTTGGGCCCCTTTAATCTTCGATACTCCGCACACGGCATGCTTCTCACTTTGCGTTTTGGCTCTTGGCCTTGCCACCCCGAAAGGGCGGAATATCTCTCTCTTCCGTCCATCAAAATGGAAGACATGGACGGAATTGGACGCATCGCGTTGGACCTCATTGCGGCCTCTCCCTTGTGCCGACTTGGACGGGATGCTCAAAAGAGCAGAGAAATGGACACGCTGATCCGAGTCACACTACCAAGTGCTCGCCATTGGGACTGTTCTCCGCGGCTTTTGACAGCTTGATGCGCTGCCATGCACGAAGAAACAGTTGTCTTGCTGCATACGGACAACTCTTATACCCTCGTCTCACGACGAAACCTTGTGGTTGTCCCTTGCTGGGATGGCTCACCCCTTTTGCATTTCTTCTCTGACGATGATATATCTTCTTGCACATACACCTTTCCCCTTTTCCATTTTCTTTTTGAAATCAAGAAAATCCTAATTATGAGGCGCTTCCCGAAAGCGCTTGGCTCTTCAACACCACTCGCGGAGGAACTTTCAACCTGCCGTGGCTGCCCAAAGGCGGCACTTCAGGCACGATCTGCAACCATTCTCCACTTCAGCTGCTATGGTATTTTTTTCTTATTTTATCTTTTCACTTACTACACTCCCTTGCTCAATGCTACACAAGTGGAGAGGGGACCGGTTGGCTTTATAGACTTGGGAACGGCATTAGGACTGACTGGGAAGTCTTGGGGTGTTGGATGATATGAATGGGGAAAGAAGATTTACACAACGCGCAAAGCGAGAGCCAAGAAAAAAAAAGAGGATGTGGGTGGTGCTACCCATACTGCGGTATGGCTGATGATGCTTTTCTGTTGGGATGGTCTCCCTTCAGAGAGAGATGGGCATGTCTCAGTGACGGAGAGGTTGTGGAAGGAGGAAATTCGAAAAAAAAAAAAAAAAACAGAATTAACGGAGGACTGGCATAGCCAGATTAGCTTCCCTGGTCTCGTCGTGGGACTCGGTTACATAGAATGGAAGTATCGACCATTTCCCTCCTCAATCTTGGTCTTTTGCCAGTGTGATGTGTTTGGCTCATGATGATGCGGGTTGATTTTGAAATTGTGTGCTGTTTCCCACACGGCTTGGAACTTCAACAGGGCCTGGAACTTTGTTACATGTAACAAATACATGTACGTAAGTAGGTCCTCCAGCCTACACGTCCTTGTGAAGCTGTCCATGCATTCATGCATGCAGCAACACGCCCTGTTACCCCGGCTAGAAGAGGCACAGGCACAGGCACAGGCACAGGCACCGCTTTTTTCTGCTGCAAGGCAACTCGAATGAAAAAGTATTGCAAAGTTCGTTCTTTCAACCGGCAGAAGGTGCTAGAACACATAAGGATTGGATGGGCTCTTTGGAGTGTTTGCTGAGTTGTCTGTGCAGAATGTGGTTACGATTTGCATACGATACGCATGTTGGCAGTTACGATTTGCATATACGGCATGTTGGCATATGTAGCGAGCGAGGGGGTGCATGATGGAGATATGGGATGGAAGATCGCTGAGGGGTGAAGGAAAGTGTTGAGAGGTTGACTCTTGGAGAGAAGCAGACGTCTGATTGGGATGGAAGCAAGGAGAGAAGTGAATTGAAGGGGGGCATGTACATACGAGATGTCTATTACTTATGGCGGTTGAGAAGTAAAAAGATGAGGCGTCGATGTGCTTCAGGTATGAGGGTTGCCAAGTTCAGGGGCGTATGATGGTGATGGGTATGATATATGTACCCGGCAGCCAATTGAGTGAGAACGAGGCGAAGAAAGCGAATCGCCTCGTATGTAGGCAATTGACGGCTTGCATACCTCATATACCGACACCATCTGCTTATATATAAGCTTAAGAGAGGAATCGACGAAAAATACGACCTCGTCGCTTCATGCATGTGAGCCAGAGTTGAGATGAGCAACGATAAGACAGACACAGAGGAATCGACAGGCCAAGACGTGTTCCCGGTAGTCATGTGCCAAGATTGATTATGGTCGTCATTCATTCAGGGCAGACAGAGGTGGCCACTTTGTGATGCGTTCAGGGAGCGGTTGACGAGAGATGCGGTAGAAGTGGGAACGCAAAGGGACTGTTTCCCCTTCTCACCTTGGTTCGATGCACAGCCTCTTTCGGGGGAAGAATGTGTCTTGTAGCGGCTCCTTGGCAGAGTGCAAATCAGACATGTAGGTGGGTGCGATATATCTTGGCGAAAGGGGGAAGCGTGTGCTGAGTCTTCCACATTGCAGGGACTCATGAGTAGCATGTATGACGCCGGTGAAAGGCTTCACCACGGCAAATGCTGGCTCTTGATATAGCGTGACGAACACGACATACAGTGGTGTCTGCGATCGTTTGTTGCAGCTATCGGGGCCGGTCGGGGCTTGCAGGAACCCGTCTCGCCGCCGAAGAGGAGCTGGGCCGCGTTTGCATGACTGCCAACGAAGTGAGGCCTCGATCTGAGTCTGCAGTTCAGTCAAGACCGCAATCTGATGCTGCTTTTCGCACCCACCTGAATTCTCCTGGAAGAGGTTCCGACAATTTGGGGGCCGCACAAGCTGAATCAGGACCCGAGAAAAGCCACTGGCCCGCTGTCAACTCGTCAAGTTCTCGGTGTGGGTTGTGTGAACGTGCGTATTATGTTGGCTGCAGCAGGCTAGCGGCATCCGTCGGTTGTCCTTCTTTCTGCTGCTCCAGAAGGCCCCTTTGCCTCATCTGCGCGCGACCCGGCGGAAGGGAGAGGCGCTGACGCGGGATTCAGACGCCGCAAACGAGGCGCCAGGGTTTTGATTTGCCCAGAGCTATTAGTCCGTAGTGTTTTCTCGGCAATGCAGCGGAAAGCTTGATTCGGCTGCTGGAGATATGCATAACGTTGCTCCGACTTGGCGGGCTCATGTCTATACAAGGCCAGATAGGTGCAGACCCGGTCATTCATAACCTGCAGCAGGTAACATGTAGTGTGTAGTCTGTAGTCTGTAATCCGTGGTCTTCATATGCCATCCCATACGTGGGCCGTGGCAGGACAACAGCAGGCTCAACCGCCAAATCAGCTTATATTCGCCGTATAATACAGTATCGAAGGAACACCGAGACAAATGGGCGAAACAGCAAGATGTAGGGCATCCAGCAGCATGTTGCCACAGCTGAGGAAGAAGAAGACGGACCAGAACAAGTGGCCAGCTGGGTGCTACGGTGAAGGAGGTGAGGCAGACCAGACCCGAAGCGATAGGCGGCTCCGTATCAACAGTATATCGTAGAAGAAGCGCACGAGTATGTATGTATGAGCCACGAAAGTCTCGACATCCTGGGTACTCTCACCTGGTGCAGATTACATACTCCGTACAAGCCTCCAGCACAGTCCAAAGCGGCCACTGTTTGTTGCTTCATCAGGACGAGGCTGCGGAACCGCTGGGTATCGAGGAGGTTTGCATGTGTTGTTGCTGCTGCTGCTGCTGCTGCTGCTGCTATTCGCTGCCGTTGCCGTTCTTGGTTCCAACCTGGTAATATCAGGTCAGACAAGAAGAGGATCGTCCCGTCAAGTATCTCAGTCATGGGTCCCTTCCTGCATCTCTCAGACGATACGAGATCCTACAATGTGCTGTCACGCCATGGCGATGCACCGTATGGAAAAGCAGGAGCTTGAGCTTCTGTATCACGCATGGCAGAATGATGGCACCAGACCAGGGTGGCGCCCCTCCGCAGCAACAGAAGGAGGGAAGAAGAGCGAGATGAAGCCGGACGGGAGACGAGGAAAAGAGAAGATAATAAATCGACCCTGACATGTGAAGGATGGTGCAAAGAATCGTGCCTTCCAACTGCCTCGCCTCGACTTGACGCAACATGCAAAAGGTCACGGAGTCGACGGCCAGTGCGAGCGACGGCGACAGGAGCGACCAGAGCGGAGGACCACGAGGCCAATGGCAGAGCGCCGGGTGGGCACCGCGCCAAGAATGCCAAGGCTTGGCACGGCTTGGCGCCGTATGCACTGCGGTGCTGCGGCGAGTTGATCTGTTAGGCGGTACCTTTCAGTACCCGCCAGCACGGCCAAAATCACGCCACAGCACAGGTCGCTGTAAGCCTCCCTCCATCGCGCCCGCTAGCCAAGCGGTGCCAAGACAATGCCAAGAGCGCCAAGACCATCCGCCTGGCCCTCTCGCGCCTGCCCAGGCCTTTGTGTCGATGTAAAGGGAGCCTCTGCCCCCAAACGGCTCGACCAGAGGCGCGAGTCTTTTCCCCCGGAACCTGCGTCCATCACAATCCCAGGCCTGATCCATATCGCATATCAGGCCCGTGTTCCCCAGATCCGGCGCTTCGAATTCAAAAATCGTCATCTGCTGCGTGTCGAGGCTGCGTTTGCGCTTCTGCATCTGCATCACTTCCTGTCCTGAACTTTTTTTTTTTGCGCCAAAGCGCCTCTGGCTTCAGGCCCCTCCCCCGAAACAGAATCGCTCTCTCCTTCTGGCTGCCCTTTTTCGCTGCTGCCCCACCGGATCAGGCCTATCAAAGGACCCCTACAACGACAATGTCGGCCCAAGTCCCCGACCAGGCTTCGGCTCTGTCTCCAAGCCATGACGGCAGCCTCAAGCCCGCCTCGCCCGCCGATGCCTCGTCGACCACGAGCCCGAACGGCAGCTCCAGCACCAGCAACAATGCCGGCAGCGCCTCGTCCAACTCGCAGGTGTCCCCGCCGGTCGGCGATGCCCTGGATGCGCCCCGGCCGCTCGTCTGCCGCTGGAACCAGTGCGGCCAGAAGTTCACCAACGCCGAGACGCTCTATGTAAGTGACGAGCACGGAGATTGGAGGACGGAGAGAGACAACATGTCGACGTGGTGATGTCAGGACGGTAAAGCTCAAGTCGCGGATACTAACCTCACATCCCTGCAGGAACACATCTGTGAGCGCCACGTTGGTCGCAAAAGCACAAACAACCTGAGCCTCACTTGCCAGTGGAACTCTTGTCGCACCACCACCGTCAAGCGCGATCACATCACTTCCCACATCCGTGTTCACGTCCCTCTGAAGCCTCACAAGTGCGAGTTCTGTGGCAAGTCCTTCAAGCGGCCCCAGGACCTGAAGAAGCACGTCAAGGTACTTGATCTCTCCTCCCTGCCCTCGGATCTGGTCCCCTGCTCACTCCCGTCTTCTAGACTCATGCCGATGACTCGGTTCTCTCACGACCTGGCCAAGATAGCCAACCCGGCATGAGCTACAGACCTCAAGCTCCCAAAGGTGAGTCCCTGATGGCTGCATCCCACGTACTTGCATCCTGCATTGCCGCTAACACGGAACCCAGCCCCGGGCTATTATGATCATACTGGCCAGATGCGAAGCCCTGTCGGCGGCTTCCCTCAACCTCACGCTGGCGGCTATTACGCTCCTCAACCCTCAACCAACTACGGCCTTTACTTCAACCAGCAGCATGTGAACACGGCACCTCGCTCCGAGCACATTGGCTACTCGGCGAGCTATGACCGCAAGCGCACCAACACTCACGAGCTGGTGGACGACTTCTTTGCCAGCGCCAAGCGCCGCCAGATTGACCCAACCTCCTATGCCCAGATCGGACGCTCCCTGCTCCCGCTTCACAACGCCTTCCAGAGCCCCAGCGGACCCATGGCCGCCACCGAATCTTACTTCCCTCAGTCGGCTGGTCATGCTATGGGGCATAGTGCCGTCCACGCGGCTCATGCTCCCGCGCCAACCCAGAACCCTCTGGCGCAGCAATATTACCTGCCCATGCCGAATGTGAGGACTCAGAAGGACCTCGTCCAGCTCGAGCAGATGCTGGGTCAGATGCAAGATACCGTATACGAAGCCGCTCCCCAAATCACCGCCGGACTGCACGCCCATGACAGCCAGTTCGCTTCATACCGCGGTACATCGTCACCCACGACCCTTCACCGCGGCCCCGGCAGCATGCACATCGCCACCGACGGCTACCATCACCCTGTCTCGGCGGCAAGCATGGCATCGCCTCTGACGGCCATCTCGTCTACCGGCACTCCCGCAGTGACGCCTCCGTCCAGCGCCCTGTCCTATACGTCGGGCCATTCCCCAAGCCCCTCCGCCTCTTCGGGATTCTCCCCGCAGTCCCGCCACAGCTCGACAGCTTCGTCCATTTTGTATCCCAGCCTGCCCACCAGCTTGCCTGCCGTCAGCCAAGGGTTCGGGCAATCGACCACGGCAACTCTAGGCCCCAGCTTTGACACCGGTGAGCGTCGCCGCTACTCGGGTGGCATGCTCCAAAGAGCTCGCGGCGCACCGCCACGATCTTCTGAGGAGCCCAGCGGCGCCGTCACGCCCAAGGCCAGCGAGTCCGCAGCATCGACCGGATCTCCGTCCTCAGAGTCTGACACTAGCGAAGCCACTCGTGAGCGAGAAGAGCAGTACGAGATGTGGGTGGACAACATGCGGGTGATCGAGGGCCTCCGCAAATATATACAAGGACGTCTTGAGCGCGGGGAATACGAGAAGGAGTATCCCGGCCTCGGCGAAATCCGCAAAGATGTCGATGCCATGGACCTTGGCGGCAAGCCCAAAAGCCCGCTTGTCAACGAGCGCCCCAAGTCTAAGGAGGGCAACTCTCTATACCCCGTCCTCCCCCTTCCTGGATCCTGAACCATGCTGGCATCATGATGCCTGAGTCTGAGGGGCTTTGCTGGCGTTTCCTCTTCTATTCTTCTCTCTTCACAATCTATGTCGATAGTTGTCGACGTGCTAGATTGACGCAATGCAATATCTTCGCATTTGACGTATGTGTTACTAGGTCTATTCTCTGTTTATTCCCAATTTATGTACGATTCAGGCTGGCGGGAGGACATTTCGCCTTGATGTAAAAAAGCTTGCAATGAATATACTATGCGTTTGACGACATTCTTTGCTAGCAAGACCCAAGATGAACGGGATGTGGATGACAGACCTACGCATCAATCTAGGTATTCTTTAGCAGGCCGTTACCCTCAGAGCACTGGTACACAGTACGCTCGCCCAGCTGACAGAATCACTGCTATACCTCTGGAGTCTAATTATAGAGTAAGTGATTCAGGTCACTTCCTGAACAGCTCTGTGTAACAGGCGCTGAGCACAACTGACGCAAAAAGCAACGCCCGAGACCACGCTTGACTCTGAGTGACGGTTTGATGGCGATCATAAGGATGACGAGACCAACAAGCAGAGGCAGGATCCGAGCTGGGGAGAGAGACAGATAGACAACAGGGCCCGGAGTCGCTCCCCCTTTGGCGACGCAGGCGAGGGATCGAATCCTCCCGATGGCCCGTTCCCCCGGCCATATTTATACGGGACTGCGTAAGGTATTGATGTATTCATGGGGACAGCACAAATTATGTAAGAGCGGTTTCAGGAGGAAAAGGGAGAGGGGGCGGCTTCGATGGAGAAGACGGGAGCTAGAAGCCGTAGATCCAAATTTGGCCGCTGGAATGAGGAGGCTGTGAGAGGTGGATTCGGGTCGTACAGAGGACGCGTTGGAGGGAGGAAGTAGTATGAAGCCAAGAGAAAGGTATAGCCAGGTAGAGACGGAGTAGAGGTCATACTATCGGTGAGAGCTGGAGATGGAAGGAACAAAAGGCCCGAGATTGTTTAAGGAATGCCGGGCTGGAATTGAGCCCTTTCCTTGGTCGAATTAGACGAGGGAAGGAGGCTTCGAGTGACGAAGAGTATTAATAAAAGCAGGAGCTGAACAAGAGAACTCCGGCAAAGGAAGCAGCAGGTGTGCCTCGTGGACCTGCAAATTAGCAAGTACTTAATAGCCTCTGAGACATGGGCACTTACGTGCATCACGCACTGCTCTTGATTCTTCTTTCTCCTCTCCCCCGTTTACCTCCTTGAAAGCCCTCAACAAGTCCTCACGATAACCTGTTCACGTCTTCACCTACAGAGCTCTCTTTGTTTCTCCGTCTACTGTTACCCTCCTGATCTCCCCTCTGTTGTGCAAATTCTCGGCCTTTTCTGTTTGCATTTCCCTACAAAAAGTATACACGCGCCTGCACAAGAGCAAAAGAACAAGAACACAGCAGTTCCGCCCGAGACAAGAAGACTAGTGTTCGTGACCCCAAGCTTTGTCTTGGATTCTGAGACATTCGGCCTCCCTGCGAGTGCTAACGGTGGGAAATAAAAAGAAGACGAACCGCCCGCCCTACCTGTTGTACACAGAGGAACGAGACAAGCATACCGGAAAAAGAGACGAGATTCTCATATTTCTGGCTTTCAAGGAAGCAATTTGCATAGAAAAGGGTGCACACGGAATCAACCTACAGCATGAAGACTCCTTCGTTTGCCGTCGTCTCCGCGCTCCTGCTGGGCGTCTCGGCCCTGAGGCTGCCTCCTCCGGCCGACTCGGGGTGCTGCTGCTGCGACATCTCCAAGGGCAGAATCGACTGCGACCTGTCCATCCCGTCGTCGGAGTGCATCTGCGCGCAGGTCATCTGCCCCGCCAACGCGCCGACCGTCTGGCACGGCCAGCCACCCGCTGTCACGCCGGCTATCACGCCGCCTACCGCCTCCGGTCCTATTACTGCGCCGTCTCCGCCTCTGTCGCCGAGGCCGAAGCCCAAGCCCAAGCCCGTGCCGGGCCCGCCCAAGCAGTGCTGCTGCTGCGATCCCAGCGTCATGAAGATCCGGTGCGAAGTCAAGCCCGCCATCGACTGCATCTGCCTGGCCGTCATGTGTCCGCCGGATGCCGAGACGATTTTCGTCAAGCCTACGCCTGCGCCTACTTCGTCGCCTTAGGGGGGCCTTGAGTGTAGTGGTGGACAAGTGAGGAGTCGTCTGGCATGGGGCGGTTTTTGAGGGATGGTTTACAACGGACTCTGAATGAGTGGGCAGGGGGTTGATTATTATCTTTATGTTTAAAGCTGGTTTGTACTTGAAGGGTTATGGACTTGTTGAGAGGAGTCGTTACTTGGCAGATCGCTCTACTTGCAAAAGACGGCAACAATGTTTGTGTCAGTTTGAGGGCGGAGGATATCATGAAGCTGACTCGTTCGGTTTGCGGTATTCGCAGTGAATTTGTTCAAATATTAATTGATCATTTATTACTGCATTATGACATTGAGAATCATTCCTGGGGGCATTCCTTTCTTCTGCACTTATACACATTGCTCCCGAGTCTGCAACGTTGACGGCCATTGGGTACAAGGTACTCTTTACTAAAAATTTCCCGAGTCTCTTTTCCCTTCATCACCCAACTCCGACACCAGCACATCATCATCTCACTGCATCGTCAAGACGTTCCTGAACCGCGGCTTGCCGGCCTCGAGGCTGTCGATGGCCTTTTGTACCTCAGTAAACGGGTACCTCTCAATCATGCACTTGACACCGTGCGTCATGGCGAACTGAATGGCCTCCTCGCTGTCGAGCGCATGCCCGCTCGCCCAGCCTTGCACGCTGGCGCCCTTCATGATGAGGGTGACGGTGTTGACGTCGACAGAGCCGACGGGCGCGAGACTGAGGATCTTGCCGTTGGGCGCGAGCCCGTCAGCCAGGGCGCCGACGACCTTTGGGTTGGGGGCCGTCTGGACGATGAGGGAAGCGCCGCCCAGCTTGGCCAGCTCAGCAGCAGCATCGGCAGCGGAGGTGTCGATGAAGTGGTGGGCGCCGAGCTGCCGCGCAAAGGGCTCCTTGTCGGCGCCGTGGGAGAGGGCGGCGACCTCGTAGCCCATCTTGCCGGCGAACTGGATGGCGAGGTGGCCGAGGCCGCCGAGGCCCTGGACGGCGACGAGGCGGCCCTGCTCGACCTTTTGCTTGCGGATGCCGTTGAAGACGGTGACGCCGGCGCACAGGAGGGGCGCGGCCTCGGCGGGGTCCATCTCGCGGGGGATGCGCACGACGGCCTCGACCCGCAGCAGCACGTACTCGGCGAAGCCGCCGTCCTGCGAGACGCCGTTGACGGCCTCGTTCTTGCAGTACTGGAAGTCGCCGCGCTGGCACTCCCTGCAGACGCCGTCGTGGCCGCCGTGCCAGGGCCCGCCCACGCGCTGGCCCACGGACAGGTTCTTGACGCCGGGCCCCAGCTCGACGACGTCGCCCACGATCTCGTGGCCGGGTGTGCGCGGGTAGACGTTGCCAAAGTTGCCCTTTGCGACCTCCATGTCGGACCAGCACACGCCGCAGGCGATGACCTTGACGAGGACCTGGCCGGCCTCGGGGTGCTTCAGGGGCACGTCTTGGATGGTGAAGGGGGAGTTTGGCTCGGTGAGGACGACGGCCTTGTAGGTCTTTGGGAGGTTGGGCGCCATGTTCGCGATGTTCTTGTGTGTGTTTTAAGCTTTGGATTCAAAGTGCTGACACGGCTCGTGTGAGTGGCGGGTGGTTTGATGGTGGTGACAGCTTCAGTGAGAGCTTCAGTGACGGCTTCATCACAGCACCATCTTTATGAGGTAAGGAAGATTGCTGGGTATATATAGCTTTGACAACCTTCTTCTCTGTCCAGAACGCTTATCATGACCAATGCCGGATCCTCCCCTCCCTCCTCTACCACAACACCATCCACCAATGACTGGGCAATCAAGTTCAGCTTTGAAGAGAGAAAACTAATCAGCTACCATCAGAATGGGTAAAAGGCCCATCAGATCCGGGCGAGCTGCTAGACGGGAAGGGGGGAAAGGAGGGTATGGTTAGTGCCATGGCTGAAGTCAGTATGACTTCACCGGCGGGGGTTGAGTAGTAGTAGTTGGCTGTTACGGCTGTGTGAGAAAGGCCGAGAGGGCGAAGGCGATCGGAAAAACATGAGGAAAGCAGCAACTTATTCCGGTTACTTTAACTTGGTGTAGGCAATGGAGCTGCTGCTAAGGTAGTTGCAGAAGTGTTGGTGTTGGTCTTGTGCAAGCTAAATTCGAGGTGCGGCGTTGAAGAACGACGACTATGTATATCACCTTGAAGCCGCTCACGAACTCTTTTTTTCTTTACTTTCACATCGTTATGTATCAACTCGAGATGGAACGGTACTGATAAAAATCCATTGTACTTGTAAGCCATCGATTTGAGATCCCTCAGTTGGGAGCTGTCCTCCATCGCCGCATTATTTCATCTTCATGGATAGTGTTGGGCGCGTTTGCCTCATCATCAATAGCTGAACCATCTTGGTCTGCTGCACTCCCCTTGCCACTGCCGTGGTGTATGTAGGAGCGCAATCCCTCGGCTACGGCCATGTACGCATCGTCATGCTCACTAATCCATATAACATCGTTGATGCCCCATTACATCGAATTCTGAATAGTAACAATCTCAAGACCCATAGTCAAGCTTCAGGGTAACCCATCACCATATAAATCGACGGGGACATTCCACCAAACAGCGGGGCAAATCCCCCCCCAGGCCACGGCTAATCTTCGCTCCCCATGCACCCCCCAAATCCCCCTTCCAACCAATCAGCAGCCCCGCATATCCAAAGAGGCGAATCGATCGAGTTTCGCCTCAATTCATCTCTCTCCCGAACCCTCGTCAGCCTCGGCCTTCCGCACCCCCCCCCAGCCTTTCCCTTCCCTCCACCTAAAGCCGCGGCTGAACATATCCTCTTTCAACCTCAAAGGGAAATCATCAAGCCGCTACAGGGCCAAGGGAGATTTTCCTGAACATAAACACAGCAAAAATGCTGCCGGCCACGCGATCCGCGGCCTCAATGGCCCTCCGAGGTGCGTCAAATTTTCCAGCCGAGAAACCAACAACAACACCCATCACTTCAACGAAACCGCCCATCACCGAACACGGCCAGACGAAAAACCACAGCTTTGGCTAACCCGTTGGAACAAAACTGCAGTCAAACCCGCTTCCGCTCTGATTCCCTTGCGAGCCGCCTCCGCCGCCGCCTTCTCAACAACCTCGAGACAAGATGCCACCTCGCTGACTCCCTCCCCCCACTCCTCGACCTATGGCAAGGCCCGCAAGGAAGTCGCCCTGCCCAGCGAGGAGGGCACAAAGGGCGTCATCCAATACGCGCTGTACGTCTGGAAACCTTCATACATACGAAAAAAAGCGATCGAAATATATTTTTGCTAACACCCTCTGGTTAAAAATGCAGCACCTCCCTCGACATCATCGCAAACTGGGCCCGCCAGTCCTCCCTCTGGCCCATGACCTTCGGCCTCGCCTGCTGCGCCGTCGAAATGATGCACCTCTCCACCCCGCGCTACGACCAGGACCGCCTCGGCATCATCTTCCGCGCCTCCCCGCGCCAGTCCGACGTCATGATCGTGGCGGGAACCCTCACCAACAAGATGGCGCCCGCCCTGCGCCAGGTCTACGACCAGATGCCCGACCCCCGCTGGGTCATCTCCATGGGCAGCTGCGCCAACGGCGGCGGCTACTACCACTACAGCTACAGCGTCGTCCGCGGCTGCGACCGCATCGTCCCCGTCGACATCTACGTCCCAGGGTGCCCGCCCACCAGCGAGGCCCTCATGTACGGCATCTTCCAGCTGCAGAGGAAGATGCGCAACACCAAGATCACGCGGATGTGGTACAGGCGGTAAAAAGGGGGGGCGAAGGGGTGAGGATGAGATGTGGGAGGGAGGGAGCCAGGAGGGATCGTGTGTGTGTGGTAGGATAAGGGATGTGTTTCGGGCGCAGATATGGCTGTGGGCTGGAAAGAAAAGAGCTGTTCGGTCCGTGGAATAAGAGGCATTACCGGCCAATGGGGCTCCGTATGAGGGGATTTTGGAATCCCAGGAGGAAGAAGAAAGCAAGGAAGAGAGGGTCAAGAACAATTCAGAGAGTCAAGCCATGTCAATTACTTGGCTGACTCGAGTCTCCTAATCTCTGCCTTCGAAGATGTAGTTTCTGGTTTTCAAAAGTGTACATACACTCTCTGGGTTGCGGGAGATTACAACTTGTAGAGTCTCTGACAGAAAAGACTGTACCAATGCCAACGACATCCGGCACGGCCAATAATAGTGCGTGAACATCGAATCCTTGTTCCATCACATCACTCCATTCAAACATACCCAAAGAGATCAGAAAGCAAATGTTCGATTCCAGTTCGTGCTTGCCTTTACTATATATATGTGTGTATATATATCGCGATACCTCCGCCATTAATAAACATTGGCATCCCTATCCAGCCTCGGGAAGCCCATAGAGCACAGCGGCTAGCAAAGCAATCGGCCACCCATCACCAAGCGAATGTCACTTCGTACATTGCTCGACAATTCTGGCCATTTCCCATAGCCCTCCTCTTCGCTTCAGACACCACCGGGCAATCTTTTTGTCAAGGACCTACCCTCTCCTGATGCCTCCCCCATTCCACTCACGCCAACGACAATGAACCGCTCATCACATCTTATCTCGTCTGATAGCAATAAAACCAGCCAGCGCCAAACCAAGCATACCAATTCTGTCCGCTGACTCTTCAGCCAAAGCATATGTACCCAAAGAGAGAAACCCAAATAAGATCAATGAGGAAAGGATCCGTGCTAAAAGCAACGCCACTACAAAGGCTATTGTAGAAAGCTGGGGGGAGCAGTGACCCTTGGCCCGGGACACCAATGCACCAATCCTAGTTGTTTTATTCTTGGCCAAAGCCCATGGTCTCCTCCACGGCAATGGTGAGTTTCTGTTGCAGCGTCTCCAAAGTCTTGTATGCGGGAAGATCGATTCGATTGAAGCTGTGTCACTGTTAGCTTTTGCCGACCTCGTTCGCGGAACTGAGGGCTCAACTTACCATGTATGCGCTTTGGGGAGGTTGCTCAGGTCACCGGCCTTCTCGATGGTGAATCTTCTCGGGCCATCGCTGCCCTGAAGGTCCTTGAATCCGTTGACCGGGATTCTAGAGGTACCCGTGGTAAACTGCAGCAGACGCGACTTCTGCTCGCCATCCCAGGACCTAACTGTTGCCCAGAAGTTCTGGATAACCTCATCCGACTCAGTATATCCTCGGTAATCCGTGTGCTTCTTCCAGTCGTCGACATCGATCTCAGCAATACCACCAATGAGCAACTCAAGCTCACGCTCATCAAAGACGTTGATGAGATCCTGCGGAATCAGCTCCTGGAAGCCTTCCTTGAAGGCCTGGAACTGCTCCGCAATGCGCTTCTCGATACGCCACTTGACCATGAGATCCACGTACTCCTTCTTGTTCTCGTTTGTCACTTCGATATCACGACCGCCGGGTATCAGATCTTCAGTCGTCATCACTCCAAAGCGCTCGTCTTCCGTGGAGAAGGTTTGCTCGAGCATTGCGCCCGAAATATCGTTGTCCAGCATCCACTGCAGCGAGCGATGGAAGTCTGCGTCCACGCCCTCCATGTCCGCTAGCGTGACTGGCTTGCCCAAGATCATCTTGTAGAGAGCTCCGATAAAGAAGGCATCCAAGAATCGCCGGTGGAAGATGGCCATGCCGACCACCCGTCCAATGAACTTGAAGTAGTTGAGATGTTCCGGATTGATGCCAGAGTGAGGGTTGATTTGGAGGGTATAGTTATCGTGCGCCGAGTATTCGAACAGACAGTAGAAGGGGTTGAACATTTCGTGAGAAAGGAGGAAGAAGAACTCTCGGGACAAACCACCGTAGTCGAGGCCGTCCTCCCCGTCAAACTTGATCATGAGGCGTTTCTTAAGATCCGTAGCGGACTGGCGAGTGATTTCGGCAAACGAGTCTTCGAAAATGTGAGAGCGTCGGACCTTGATGTGGCATTGCCCGCTGAGAATGCGCATGGCAGGCTGGGATCGGAAGTAGATGAGTTTTCGTCGGAAGTCACGCTTGTACTGGGGTACGTTTTGATCCAGGGAAGAAGGAAGACGCGGGTCGTCCCAGGTAGTAGTCTTTGTGTTATGGTCCACGAAGTAGACTCGGGCAGTATTTGTGAGACGCATCTCCCAACCGCTGGGCAAAGGTCCCAACTGAGATACGGGCTGCTGCTGAATCTGGCCGTTGGTGTTGTTCTGGCCGTACATGCGGATGAACTGCTGCCGGCGAGGGTCGACCCAGGTCGTGGTGCGGGTGTTGTGATCGACGAAGTAGGGCCGTCCTTCGGGGGTCCAGCGCTGTTCCCAGCCTGGGGGAAGCTCGCCGGAACCTGGACTGGTGGCCCCAGTGTGCATCATGGCAGTGTGGCTGCTGCCGCCGGCGGCATTGGCAGTGGCGCCGCCAGGGCTGCCTGTACCGGAGCCTTGCTGTTGCTGCTGGAGAGTGGGTGAACTGGTGCCCGTCCTGTCTTCGGGGAGGGTTCTGTTTTGATGCCTCTGGCGTTCAACCTGGGTGACGGCCTCTCGTTCGTTTCGGGTTTCGGCGGCGGTACCGCCC